GCCTAGTAATCGATATGATAGTAAAGTGTTAAAATCCCACATTGTATCAAGAGTGTCTCCCTATAGATCCATTACCCAGCCCGGTGCCCTGGCATTGGGTACATATACATTTATTATGGTAGTTTTTTAAAAAAGATTTATGTATTGGAAACTCAAACATACAGAGAGGAGGAGAGACAGAGAGGAAGATCTTCCATCCGATGATTCACTCCCCAAGGGACCACTACGACCAATGCTATGCCGATCCAAAGCCAGGACCAAGGAACTTCTTTCGGGTCTCCCACGCAGGTGCAGGGTCCCCAAGGCTTTGGGTCATCCTCCACTGCTTTCCCAGGCCACAAGCAGGGAGCTGGATGGGAAGTGAAGCTGTCAGGATTAGAACCGGCGTCCATATGGGATCCCGGGGCGTTCAAGGCGAGGACTAAATTTAGCCACTAGGCCACACCACTGGGCCCAATGGTAGTTTCTTAAATTGACCCTTTAAACATTTTATAATGCTCTCTTCACCTTTTTATAGTTTGTGTTAAAATTTTGTCTAACATTGGAATGATTATGTCAGCTCACTTTTCCAAAATCTTAGCATGGAATACCTTTTTCAATCTGTTAACTTTCAGTTTGTGTGTATCTTTGTTGAAGTTTGTTTTAGGCAGCAATAGATAGGTCTTTTAATCCAGTGAGCAGTCTTTTAATTGGAGAGTTTAAACAATTTGTGTTCATGGTTATTACTGAAAGACAACTAAATTGAAGTATTTTTGAGTTCTTTTTGGGGAAGTCATACTACCTTTCTTTGTTCATGCTGCTGATGCCTCTGCTTATTCTTAGGTATTTCAATAAGGACTTGAGTTTTCTCATCTGATGTTTTTCTTTGAACTGTGCCTCTGTGGCTTAATGGAACCACTGTTCCTTTATTGGATATCCAGGTTTTGTGCTGAGTGTGGGCAGCTTGCTCTAGTCAGGGGGAATGGTGGGTTTCCTCCTTTGTCTAATATTGTATGCTACTCTGGCTACCACAGCCTATCATACCTGCCCACAATGCGCAGCCATGCCATCTCTGCTGCCACATGTTGTCTCCAAATCTTCTGTAGTGTTTGACCATTGGGTTCTCTAAGTCTCCTCTGGGAGTACAACTGGGCCACCTCTTGCTAAACTTACCCAGACAAAATGTCTTTACCCTATACAGCCATCTTGGAAACCCCCTTTTAGAATTGTCTGTGTTAACATGAGTAGTTTTAGAAATAAGTCAACTGAGCTTTTTTATGAATTTTTAGAGCCGTCTCTGGTGTCCCCAATCAGGTATAAACAGGGATTATTACCCTCATGAAAAGGGATTTTGCCTGCAGTCTTATGGCTAGTTCCTCAGACAATGAGGTGGTTTTTGTATTTTAAGTCCTATCCTAAGAGAAGCTTACTCAGCAACAACACCCACTTGGGAAGCTTAGAAGACACATCACAAGCATTGTACTTACTACTCAGATATCAAACACGGGCAGCAATTGGATATTTATATGAAAAACAGGTTAAAATGAAGGTTTTTCTTCCTAATTTCACAGGGCATTAGTTAAAAGGAGTTAGAAAGCTAGAGAAGAATGTTAGAAAGGAAAACCAGATGGCTCAGGTCTGACCAACCTGTGTGTTCCTTAGTTTCTAACTAATATAAACTCTATCTTTCTGCCAGTCCAAGCTGTAAATGTCTGGTTAGGGGACAAAGTGGGACTCTGAATAGCAATCTTAATATGCATAGGTTTCTGAGGTTTTTGGTAGGAGAAAGTTTACCTTGCAGATTTTACAGAGGAGGGAGAGTGTGAGCTTCCATCCACTGACTTATTACTCCCCAATTAGTCACGCTGAGCCAATCCAAAGCTAAGAGCCAGGAGCTTCCTTTGGGTCTCCCATGTGGGTGAGAGGCCCAAGGACCTGGGCCACCTTCCACTGCCTTCCCAGGCCACAAGCAGGGAGCTGTATCAGAAGTGGAGCAGTGGTGGGTCTCAGGACGGGGCGTCTCATGCCTGGATTCCGGACGGCCGCCATGGGCACATGGTGAGCCGTGTCCGGGCCTGCTGGGTTCCAGAGGCTGCTTCCTTTGGGGTGAGTAGACCGAGGGGGGAGGCCTCTGGGACCGGGCAGGTCCGGCACCCAGCCACCGCCCTCATTGGGCGGTGAAGGGGATTTGGGAGGGGCGCGACCTTAGGCCTGGGAATTTAAACCTCCAGCTGCCTCCCGGCAGCTGGTGGGTCTCAGGACGGGGCGTCTCATGCCTGGATTCCGGACGGCCGCCATGGGCACATGGTGAGCCGTGTCCGGGCGGCCAGTGCGCCATTGGCGCCAGGCTCCGCCTACTGGCCGCCCGGCTGGGAGCTCTGGGGATTTTGTTCTTTCAGTCGCTGCTTAATTAGCTCCAGGTTGAACTCATTGTGATTCTCGGACCTGAAACAGGCAGTAACTCTTTCTTTGTAAAAGTTGTAATTACTAATAATGCTGGGCACCAAATACCAGTCCATGCAGAAGCCTGGGCTTGGGGCTTGTCCTGCAAAAGTAGCTCCAACGGCTGGCTAATGTGTCAACTGGTGGGGAACAGAGTAGATCTGGTACGAAGGAGCAAACCTTAGCCCACAAGCAAAACTAGAAACCAGGAGGGAGCAAAGGTCATGCCAAGCTAGGCTCTTGTACCTACTGGTCTGCAGGAGCCAGGGACACAAAGCCACAGTGTCTAAGGCAGAGGTCGGGACAGGTGAGGAGCTGTGCTAAGCTGAGTCAGAGCAACCACTGGCATGCGAGTGATCTATCGCTGGGAACAGACCCGGTTGGGGAGCAAAGGGGACAACCCTAGCTGGGCTGAGGTTCCCACAAAGAGGCGCGTGGCCTGGAAGGGGGGCTGCGTTCTGATCTGGATACAGTTGTAGTCTCCCTTGGCACAAGTGTGGACTGGGATTGGATGCACCGAACCGGGCTGGACCCCGACTCCCCCTGGTGTTCTGGAGGACCAGGGCAGATGTGTGATAGACTAGGCAAGGTCTCAAACCCCTACTGAGCCATGTGTGAGCCATACGTAGGTATGGACAAGCCATGGCTGGGCTGGAACATCCAACAGCAAGAACCAGATTGGGTGGAAGGCCAGTCAGGAAAAGCCACAGTTCCTGCTATGACAGGAGGTGGACTGAGTAGGATTGGCTCATGGACCCACTGGTAAGCGTGTAACCTGGCATTGGGAGAGGTTCTGATGGAGGAGCCTGGGCAACTCCTCTGGCAGGACACAGACCCGGCAGGTCAGCGCAAGAAACATGATAGGAAACAGCCCAGAACAGGCCATGGAAAGCTACCCACTGGCATACACTTGGCAGACGTAGGGGCAAGACCAGGCTGAATCTGTCCACGTCATCCACTGGCAAATCCAGGCACCAGTGTGGGTCGACCTAGGTTCGGTTGCAACAAAGACTAGTGCACAATATGGAATGCCGAGGTGAGGTTGCCTGTACCGGAGGGGACCGCAGCGCCCAACCAGCCTGAGAACAAGAAAGGAAGTAGGCAGAGCCAGCAGGGGAATAAGGGAGGGTTCCTTTGCTGGACAGCTACTCCCGCAGGAGAGCATAGGCTGGGATGGAGGCAGACCAGACTAGGCAGAGCTACCACACCTGTGCGCCTCATGTGGACTAGATCAGGGAAAAGCCAGGCTGGGCAGATTATCCCTACTGGTGCAAACAGAATTAAAGTGGGCGAGGGTTGTTTTGGGCAGCTGGAATCTGGGAGTGGGAGAGGCCTGGGAGGGTAATAGTGGGCTCATCCCTCTTGGGTTACCACTTCCACGGGAGGACATAAAACTAAACAGTGGCTGGGGTGGAATGGGGTGTGGGGCAGACTGGATTACTGCTACACTTACTGGCAAACCAGGGTAGGGGCGGTCCTGGTGGGGGTTATTGTGGGTCGCTCCAACTAGGCTGCAGCTCCCACTGGTTTAGGTGAGGGCCAAATATGTGCGGGGCAGAACCAGGCTGGACTGCAACACCCATTGGTTCCAGTGGAAGTCGGGAGTGAAAACAGAACCAACCCAGCAATTACAACCACCAGCTGATTGGAGCGATGGACGGTGCCTGGCCCTGTACTTGTTAGCACATACAAGAAGTTTCTTTGGAGATCTTCCTAATCTAAATGCTGGACTCAGAACCCTAACGAAGAAAAGAGAGAAGACAGAACAGGTCAACCAACCATCTCAGCTATGATGGACTATGTCAATCAGTGGATTTTTCAAAGACCTCATAGTGCTTGGAGTGGCGAGATTGACAGCGATTCATAACTGTTGCAACATCAAAACCACTCGAGCAAGAACCTCAGAGCATGCCCTACACCCGGGACTTGGGGAGGGTGGGAAATTGGGTTGGCCTTCTCCCTTAATACCCCCCTTTTAAACATGAAGGTAACAATATGGAAAACATACTAGTATTATCCACTTTCCTGTAGCCCTTGAACCTTCTTACTCTAACTAAGTATGTAAAGAATATAAAAATAAATTATATTAAAAAAAAAAAAAAAAGAAGTGGAGCAGCTGGGCCTTGAACCAGCACCCACATTGGATGTAGGTGCCATCGCTAAGCCTCTAAGGTTTGAAGATGCTTGTTTCCCTTGACACTATCAGGGTTTGGCATACATTTCTGTCAAGGGCCAGTTAGAGATCCTGTAGCTGAAAAGCCTGAAACAAGGCTTCTGTTCTACTGAAGTAGTACAAAAGAAGCCTTGTAAACAAAGGCACATAGCTGTGTTCCAGTAATCTCCTCTGGACAAGAAAACAGGCAGCTGGAATTTGGTCCAACAGCTGTAGTTTGCCGACTGTTTGTTACAGATAACACAAGTTTAAAACTTACAGCTTCATAAAACTTAAGACCTTGAAAAAATGAAATTGTTATACAAGTATCCATTTTTTTATCCTCAGTGAGATGAAGCTGCTTATTACCTCATTTTCCCCACATAACGTATGTGCCATCAAGTCATGCAATCTCTTCTCTTGGCAGATAAGCACTCCACGTGGCTGGTGGCAAGGACAAGCACTGCTGACCGCGGAGGGCCTGGAGAGGGACAACATCACAGGGACAGATCCTTGTCGTTTCCCAAAGATGCTGTGGAAGTAGTATTTTTCTCTTGGTTTCTTTCAAACTTCCTTGCCTACCATGGGCTGCATAAAATCCAAACAGACTTTCCCATTTCCTGCCACACTGGAGCTTGAGAAGCAGCATGAGAGTGAAGAAAACTTTATGCCAGAAGAGGGATTACCACCGGGGATGCCTCCGCCCATGACAGTCAAAGAGGAAGTGAAGGAACCCCCAGGGACCAACGTTGTGATCTTGGAATATGCACATCGCCTGTCCCAGGAGATCTTGCATGATGCCTTGCAGCAGTGGGCCAAAAATAACATCAAGTACTATGACATCCCTTACATTGAGAGCGAGTGCCCTTGACCCTGCAGGATGTCGACACTGCTGAGCTGCGGATACAGTCGGTGCTAGCTTAGATACATGAAGCATAAGTAAAAAGTGGTGTAAGTACAAATAATTCCACCTGGATGCATAAATACATCCAATAATGTCACCAGTGCAGGAATTGTTACATCAAACATGTTACACAGTTCTGTTAATAGCAATGTTCATCTGCCTGATCTTGGAGTTTCATCATTTTAAGGGGCTCAGTGGTTATTTGTATGTCTTACTACTTTTTTCCTGAGGCAGTAATGGTTTCACCAAAGAAAATGCTAAAGACTAGAAAAGGAGCCCATATTCCAAATGGTTGTTTTTTAAAGGTACTTCACTTTAAAATAACTTTCTGCTCATTTATACCAAAACAAAGTTAAAAGCTCAGCTCTGAAAAGGGTTTTTCTCAACTATGCCTTGGCCTGGGAATGCCATGTCAACAGCGATGCCTGTTAAAACCGTTTGTGTCAAGGGCCCTCACTGACATAAACAACTTGGCATTAGGAAGTAAGCCGTGTAGAAGAGGTCCACCTTAAACACTGTCCTTAAGATGCTTATTTTTGTAGATAAAAAGCTCAGCTACCACCTTGAACCTCAGGGCCCTAATGAATTAGTTGTTATTGGATGTCTTGGACTTTGCCGATAAAGCTATCTCAAAGATTCAATTTACAGAAGCCATGACATTGTTTATTGCATCAATTGTGCAGCCCAGGGATATACGTTACCCAACTGTTTCATAGAAACTGCAATCTAGTAAACCTTTAAGATAAGTGTAATCTGCAAGGCAGACAATGGCACTTGGTGTACTGCTGATTCTGTATTCAGTCCTACTGTGTCGAGAAATGTTCATATGAGTGCTTGCTCTCAATGTTAGTGTTGTGGGGCCAAATATGAAGAATTGTCACAAGAGAACAATCCTCCAAGAGTATCTGTGTGTGTAAAGACAACATGTGCCAGTGGGACATTTTCAGTTATTTATTTGCAGTATTTTACTAAATTAGGCTATCTTTTTAGGAAGCAATTCTTTTTCATTTCAGTCATGGGATGCACAGCACATACACATTTTTCTGAAGTACTGCACACTAATACAAATCAGTGCTAACAAGATTTGGGAGAGGAGGAAAATCAAGAAAATTGGGAGGCAGTCTCTAAAATCTTAAGATTTCCTACAGATTACTTGGAAAAGAAATTTTTAATAAGCCCATATATGTAATATATTTGAAGAGTTGATTGCCACAGAAATCTAGAGGCAGGAAAATGCCTATGGGCTCTATAATGCGGTAAGCAGGCAAACAAGTCACCTTGTTTTAATACCTTTGAAGCCTCAAATCAAATAGAGAATTCTTCAAATGGCAGGAGGGAAGTATTGCAAACAAGTGCACCTTCTGTAAGTTGATTTAACATCTGTCCTAAGATTTATACCAGGTCAAGAGCCACTCCTGTTAATGTAAGGATTTGAGGGCATACGGCTAAAGCAGAATGTTTCTCTTGGGTATTTTTAGTTTATGAAGAAAAGCTGAGCTTTACATATTTATACTGATGGCTCAGCAAAGGTTTAAATGTGGTTCTCATTTTTAATCTGAAAACAATTTGCTGAAAGATAAGCAAATATGTAAAAGACTTTGAGAACACAAGTCATTATAAAGCAGTGAGTAACACTAAAACTTTCAATATACACAGGGACAAGAACCAGTGGGTTTTGTTTAGGTTTCTTTGCCCTGAGCCATGATTTCCCAGGAGATTAACAGGGAGCACTGTGCTTCACATCTCTGTAGAAGTTTTTCCTAATACGCTCTCTGCAAATACAGCAGTAGAGTTTGTCAACAGGCACTACCCCTTTGTCCCTGGGTCATGTGTGTGGTACCCTGTGTGCAATATCCTCCAAGTGACTTCCCTTTGAGATATACAGCATATTCTACATAAACCCATGAGCAAGGAAATACAAGGCTAGAACAATCAGTGAGTTAGTGGACTGGAGGAGCAGGAAGCCAACAAGTTTAAATAAATGTGGTATTTACCTCATTAAAACGTAGTTTGACCTAACCTCCATGACAAGATAGACGAGAACATCTTTGGACAGAGTAAGTCTTCTGTTGCTTTATACTGAAATATTTGCTTCATTCTGAAGGCCTTTCAGCAAAGTGAAGCTAAGAGTAGAAGGACTGTTTGGGAAGGAAACACGTGAAACAGAAAACTGAAAAATTGTTAGCCACTGGAAAGGGAACCCGGTATAAGGGTGGGTGAACCTGCCACCAAGTGGCAACTGTGAAAGTAGATGACAGAGGAACAGATGTGCCGATTCCTTGTTGTAAAGACTCACAGACGTCGACAAGCTGCACTGCTACCTTTCAGTTAGTTGCCTTACCAGTTCTTCGCAAATTCTGCAGTTATGAACACTAAAAGCACAATTTTGGACAAAAACAATTATTTTAGTTCCAAAGGAATAATCTGTCAACCTGCCTTATTAAAAAATACCCACAATGAGGTAGCATGACCCGCAATGTCATTCACATTTTATAATGGTGGTAACTATATCTTTGTATATTACAGCTTTAAAATCAATTTGACATAAGTAATGTTAAAGGACAGTAACATAAAAACCAAGTTCTAAAAAAATATAGTACTCAATCATGATCTGCCTCCATCCTGAATGTGAACTCCCACTTAGGGTGTGTCTTCCTCAAAGCCACAGGCACTGGAATAGATTCTCTTAACCCTGTACGACTTAGCTATGAAGTGGTATATTTTTCCCAGACATTTATGTGAAACTATTTGGGGTGGGGAGTATACTGTTTAATAAAAATCTAGTTCCAACTAACTAGTTGTGAATCCTTATTTAATTGAAAAAAAATGCTTAATATTGTATACCTAACAGTTACTGAATAACATGAGATTTACCATTTTTTGCATTGGTGATTTGTAAAAAAACAAAAGGCCTTTTTTACAAATCATTTCTTCAAGCATATTCTGAAATATAAAGGAGCTTTCAGTATGTAAATGTGAAAGCATTACTAGTTCAGATCTGTTCTTGGATTTTCAGCAGAAAAAATGCTTCATGTTAGTAGATCCAGATCTGAAAAAACTAAGCAATAGCTTCTGGATTGCAGTTTTCCCCAGCAAGAGAAAGGTAGAGCATGTATCTTTGATGTCTCTTTTTGTATGAACAAAATCAGAAAAAGAATCAGTTTCTGAGAGGTTGGCTATGAAGGATAATCTTTTGACTTAAAAAATTCTTACTCCAAATTCTTACCTAGAAATTTAAGGTCCTGAGTCTGGAACATCTTTATTTCTTGAATACCTTAAAAGTATGTAAATACTGGAAAACATAGTTTTGAATGAAATTCTTATTTTCAGTTAGTTTTAAACAAGCTCCAATCAACAGGGAAAAAATTAGATGCCATTACACAAACTGGTGATGCAAACAGCAGAGGTCTCAGATGAGTTTATTAATCTGTCTGAATGAAGAATTATGACAGTGTAAATAACAAGAATACTACCTTAGTTTTCCATGGAAAAGGGATTCTGATTATTTCAAAGAATGCCAAGGGTGAATTATACTGGAAAAAAACCTTGATAAATACAGAGAGGAAATTCTATGAGATCTTAATATATAAAGAAAAGCCTGGATTTTGTTTTTCTATAATCTATATACCTGATTTAATTTACTCAACATACAAAACACTACCAAATATAGAACCTGAAGGTCCCATTTTTCAGTTAGACCTTAGAAGTTTGTTAATCTCTATTGTAGAAGACAAGAAAACTACTTTGGACAGATTTTTCAGGCCCAATTAGAAAAGCAAACACGTAAGTACAAACTGTATGTTCCAATAAAGCTTTGCTTATGGGCACTGATAAAATACTACTTTTTTCCCCCCAACCATTTTTAAGCTTGCAAGCTGTATAAAACTAGGCAGCAGGCCAGATTTTGCCCACATACAATAGTTGGTTGGCCCCTGCTTCGAATGTACCTTAAAAGGCCAGTCACCTCACAATTTCAAATCATTGCTTCCCAGAGACTGAAAATGATGATTCAGATCTTCATCAGTAACTTCTTTTAGAGTAGCTGGTTTCCACTTTGGACTCTGATCTTTATCAATTAAAACTGTCAAGAGAAGATACAGAAGTCAGTGTATTTCTTTTTTATACTACCAGATTTTAATTACCTGATAAACTTCAATTACTTGCTGTTTTCCTATAGCAAATTTTTTTTCCTGCAAGATTTAGGTTTGTGAATATGTTCTATATTTCTTCTAAATTAAAGCACCTAAGAGTCTAGATTTTTTACACATTTTTTTTTTTACAACCAATGTAGATATTTTTTAAACTTCTAAGCCTCATGCTTTCAGTATTAATAAAATCTGTTGAACTAACCCAGTGATTTAAATTGTAAACCTTTTTTTTTTTTTGTCATAAATGAAATCCTCATGTTAAAGAACAGCAAAACCCAGAATTGGCTTAAAGGAAAGGAAGGGAAGAGGTCCCAGATCAGCCTTTTAACTGTCTCCATCTTTGGTTTTGGGAGGAAAATTAATAGTTTATGGTAGACAGGGAATTGTACATAATTAAATATGGATATTGCTGTTCTGCTGAGTCTTCCAGTTTAGACAGTTCTGAATAGGTCAGACCACTTTTATTTATGCTTACATGAAATCCCCTGCTTCTATTTCAGCATAGTCATCACTTAGTGTAGCCACAAAGTGGACCTACTGGATCCGGAGGGCAATGTCCATTTCCTGGCTGTGATAGCATGGTATACTTACACAAATGCTAGGTAGGAAACTGCAAGAACATGCAAGATCTCTTGTTACCTTAAACTTTTTAAAAATAGTGTGGATCTAGGCATGGATAGCTTTATCAGTCATGTTTAAAATGTGCTTTAATCCTTGGGCAGGATGGGACTATTTAAATATACACGCTCTTTAATGAACTAGAAAAAAGAAAATGGAGCACTAAAAGGCTAAAGAGTTAAAGCAGCACAGGAATCAAGGAGGAAGGCTGCACTGGCAGATAAAGGAGGGAAGTCTCACATATAACAATGTGGTTGCTGGGAGCTTTTTAAAGTTTGGCTGCCTACTGTGGGATTTGGTATCAGATCAGTGGTGACATTAACACTGATGTGCTGATTCTCACCAATTTGAAGGGTCTGTATTCCCTGGACAATGTAAGCAATATACAATCCTAGGCCCTTCTTTCCACAAGAATTTCTTCCCCTTTAAGTTTTCTGGCCAGTACTATCTACCTCCTGGGGATTCCAATGAGAGGCAAAAGGAAAAGCAACATTTATCTAATCCATGTTATTTCAAGCTGACAACACTTTGTACCTAGAGTAAATAAGCTCTTGCTAGACAGGCAGCTCAGATTTTCAAGGTCTTCTGAGAGACCTAATCACACTGCTATTCCTACAAAAGCAATCCATTTTTATTATTGAAAACCAGAAAGAAAGTTTATGTGTTAAGGATGAGGATTTTTAAGAACCATTCCTTAATTTGCTAAATTATTGTATCTAGTTTGCTGACAATTACAAATTGATCCAAAAAAACTAAACAATCTCACCCACAACAGTTAACTCCTTTCTAAACACACAGGCCATGCTGACAGAGGCAATACACTTTACTAAAAGTTGGTAAGCACTTTGCTGCTGTTTGGCTTTTCCTCTTTTTCCTTAAAACAAGTAAGTATGCACCAAGAAGTCATACTTTCTTTTTTAAAAAGGGCTAGTCTAACATGTAACAAATAACACAACCCAGGTGGCAGATTTGTCCTTCTAAAATCAGCTCTAGGCTCTGAGCTACACACTCCAGGAACATGCAGGGAAGCAGTGGGGAAATGCACAATCCTGGTGGTTTAACACAGCCATCTTTTTCTGTCAACCTCTTGTGTCTTCCAAAAGGATGTGAATGCAGTACTTATTTCTGATATTCTATCATGCCAGAAGCTAAGAGCATTCCATAAAAGTGATCATTACCGAGGATTAGAGCTCAGAGTACAATAATCTTTTCTTCATACAAAAAGTGTATCTGTACTATGTTAAAATTAGTAGCAATGAGAAAAATATGCAAACTAAGTGCAGAGGGAAAAAACTCATAGAACTGAGTAACAGCTCTTTCTAGAGTAAAGGGCTCAGCCACATTTCTTGCTTTTCCTAAATATGCTTTGTAGCAAAATGAAAATGTCATGGTTTTCCCATTAATTTTTGAGTGCTCAGATAAAGGAGATGGATGGCAAGGCTCAGCCACCACTCAATTTTTGCTAAGCCAGTGCAGTACAGAAGGATGAGCAACTTGAGGACCTCTGCAAAGGAATCAATGCCCCTCACAAGGCCTCCACAGCAGGATGTGGTCACAGCTGGTGCTGCGCTCACCGGTCCATGTGCTCTAGGAGCAGGAGTACTTTCTACATACGGAGTCTTCAAATGTTCCTGAGATATGTATCAGGAAAACACCATGTATGGATTTCAATGCTTTCTGAAAAATCCCCTTGTCTGGTAATTTCATTTTCACAAACGTAATACATTAGGGAGCTACAACAGAGTTATGAATTTTTAAAACAGTGTCATCTTCAAGACTGATCTTCCTTTACACCCCAGAGGGTTACAACACACTCCAGCTAACCATCTTCATAAATATTGATTTTTAACAAGTCATCTTTAACAGTGTATACCCACAAATTCTGTCTCCCTAAAAACCAGGGAGGAAATAACCATTTGTCACTTACCAGCTCTAACACCTTCATCAAAATCATGACTTCTCTGAAAGAAAAACCAAGATGAAATGGATTCATTTCTGGGTGTTCTTATTTGAGGTGGTCTTGAGTGTCTGCCCTTTCCATCAGCCTCCAAAGCCCCTTATGATCTGAACCCTGATGACGAGAGCCTGGACCCCAGTGTCAGCCCCTCAGCTCACCACCACCTGCTCTCACTTGAAGCACCTGCATCACTACACATCCTTAGTCTTGCTGAGATCCATTGTCCCATGCCTTTCACACCACCTGCACTTCACTTCGCTCTTTCCCCTAAACAGGCATGGAATATTGCACAATAATCTCCAATCTCTTCCCCACTCCCCAAGATAAAGATGTAAAATGTTTTCTGCCTTCTCAGCCTGTATCCCTGAAGCACCTTCTGGTCTCATAATAACTTTTAACTTCACTGAGAAGCTCTCAGAGAACATTCCCATCTTCCCGCCTGTGAAGCACTTGCTGCCAGCTGTAGCCACCTGTACCTTCCTGATTACGTTCACAAAGCACACAAGGCCAGACTTCCCTGGCATCCTAAACCCCACCTTGAGAAAACATCTACTTCTTTTTTGCTGCTACCCCCAATGCAGCCAGCATGATGGCTAACACATGCCTGGGTTTACATCTGGGTCCTATTACTTACTAGCCAGGTGACTCTGGACTGATAACTCCTCTAACCTACAGTTTTCTTATCTTAAATGTCAGTATCAATACATCCATCACAGAATTATGCTTAATCCGCACCTCTGCAGTGTCCGACAAATGTGTTCAGTAAATATTAGCTATTAGTATCAACAACATAATGCTTTTTCTCTGTTGGGTCATTCCTAAGCATTTAAAAACATGCTCTAGTATCCTGTCTTACAAAATCAAAAACCTTAGTTGATTTCACAGTTCTAGCTTCCATCCTATTTTTGCTTTGGGAATAGAGAGTGAGGCACACATGTTGGACCCATTTTCTTCACACATCATTTAGTTCCTCTCCAACTTCGGCCTCCACCACTTCTCTGCAATGCCTTGCCAAAGCAGCCTGTAACTTCAGTGCTGCCACATTCATGGATACTTCCAACCTTATCTGCCACAAACTTTGGCAGAATCCAACACCGTTTGTCACTTTTTCATCCTCAACATACTTCTCTCTTGCTACCAATACTTCCCTACTTCTACCTTGGTCCTGTTTTTATCTTCACATTATTCTTTCACTGTCTCGCCTCAGCTCTGATATCTTCCATTTGCTTTCTATATGATCTTATCCATTTGGTGCCCAATGCATCAGTCTCAGTGATCAATTCTGTTCAAGAATAAGAACACACACTCTCTGCTCCAAATCCTCTAATGACGCTCCATCTCATTAAGAACAAAAGCCAAAGTCATCAGAGATCCTCAAGGCCCTGCATGTCCTGCACGGCTCTTCCCCTGACCACATCTCTTACTACCACCTACTGCCTGCCCTGGGTATAGGAAGGCAGACTCTCAACACAGCTTTCTGATTACTGTTCACTGGCCCAGAAGGTTCTTCCACATACTTACATGACTCACTCATTTCTTTCGGGTTTCCACCCAACATCTCAATGAAGTCTTCTCTGGTCACCCAAACAACAGTTCAACTCCCATCATCCCTTACTCCATATTTTTTCTTTATTTTTTCCTCCATAATAAATATATATAGTATATTTTATGTCTATCATATTTCACACATCTCCTAGTACAAAGTTTATTCCAGGAGCCAGCACTGTGTCACAGTAGGCTAACTTTGTGCCTAAGGAGCCAACATCCCTTATGAGTGCCAGTTCTAGCCCCAGCTGCTAGACAGAACAGTGGGTAACACTTCCAGTCCAGCTCCTTGCTTATGGTCTGGGAAAGCTTTGGAAGACTGTTTAAGTCCTTGGGCACCTACATCCACATCACAGACTCAGAGGAAGCTCCAAGTTCCTTGCTTCTGATCAGATCAGCTCTGGCCACTGCAGCCATTTTGGGAGAGAACCAGCAGATAGAAAGATTGCATTTGCTTTTTTTCTCTCCTTCTAATTCCACCTTTCAAATAAAAATAAAAAATAAATTTTAAAAAGTTCTTTTCGTGAAGGCAAGGATGTGTCTGTGTATCTATGCATTCTTAGTGCTCTAACTGTCCAGTACCTAGTAAACATCTTGTTGAGTAAACAGATACCCAAAGTACTTTCAATTTGGTGTTGATGCCTTTCAAACAAATCTCCAACCCATACCTCTAAAGCTCCAATTCCTAAATGCACTATCCGTTATATTCATTATCAGGTCCTATCAATTCTATCTCCAGAATCTCTCAAATCCATCTCCTCCTTTCTACAGGCATCATGCTAGTCTAAATCACTACTATTTTACACTGGGATCGCTGCAGCAAACTTGTATCTACATAGACTCTTGAACGCCTCCACAGAGCAGCGGTAATTACCTTCTTAAAACAAACCAAATCAAATCAAATGAGCAATGAGATCACCCACCACTGCTTTCACTCCAACTGCTTTAACTTCTCAACATGTTCACTTCCCACCTGCCAAGTCACAGATGAGATGGTAACTCAGCCATCTATCCTGATCAGCTTATGGAAAGCCTGTTTCCCCTTGAATCTCCCACTCTTCTGTCCTGCCTCATCCTTGACCAGGCCTGTATAATTCCTACAGCACTTCACACAATCTGCTGTGATTTCATACTCTGCTTGCTTTTTCTTCAGTGTCAGTTAAACTCAAGACTAAAAGTCTAGTGAAAACAAAGAACTGTATCCTCTTATTAACATCATAACCTTAACACCTGGCATGGTGTATGACATATACCTAAGATGCTTGCTGAGAGAAGGAAGGAATCAATGAAGGCACACGACGCACTAGAAGTGCGCAGTGAAAAACCGGAGGCCCAGTGGTCAGAGACTGACTGGTTTCACATGCCTTATCTACCTTACAGCTGAACAGACTGGGGCAGGTCACTTCTGCTATAGTTATCCTGTTAATAAATGAAGACCTGCTGGGGCGGAACAGTGGGCAAAGCCATTTCCTGTGACCCAGATCCTGTGAGGGCTCCAGTTTCTGTCCCAGCTGCTATGGTTCTGATCCAGAACCAGGACCAAGTACTTACATCTTATGTCCCAGCCACCCCACCGAGGAGACCAGATAAAGCTCCTAGTTTCTGGCTTTGCTCTGGCTCGGCCAGGTCATTTAGGCAGCAAACTAACAGACCTTTCTCTCTCCCCACCCCCGCTCCTTCTCTAACTTTGACTTTCAAGTAAATGAATCTGGAAGAAAAAAATCTGGAAAAATAATAAAGGAGACACAAATACTTATCTTCCTTGAGACAGTGTAAGATTTAATGGAAAGAATGCATGTCAGGTATCTAGCAGAATACCAACTTGTAGAACAAATAATATGCTTCAGCTCCCCTTTACATTCTACAAGGAGTAACTGTAAGATATGGCTAATGCAGTTTTATTTCCAATTAGATGAATGACTGATTATCTTAACCATCTCAAGATATTAAATCCCACTATGACTGCTTTCTAATTAAGAATTATTAAGAATTAATTAATCCAAATAACTTATTAACTGTCTTCTGAACATGGAGATGATTTTGCCTTTAAACTATGATGCTGAAATGTTTCATAAAATCAGATTTCCATCATTACTGTCCAAGTACATTTTAATGGTACTTTGAATGCTAATCTATCAATTTAGGCATGCAATAAACAAGTAGCTGATTTGTGCACTTATAATGCAAATCTTTATGGAAAATGGATAAATATGAAATCATGTTATGATTTAAAATATTTTTGCACCAAAATGAATTTTTAAATTACAAAAAAAAGCTCCCTTGTACTCATCTACTTCTAAGTGCACAGCTACTTGTAAGGTTTATTTGCTTGATAGAATTACTGAGAGGAGAAAGAGAGATCTTTAATGTATTGGCTCATTCCCCAAATGGCCAGAACTGCCAGAGCTGAGCTGGGTTGAATCCAGGAGTTTGGAACTCCCATCTGCTCACATGGGTTGCAGAGGCCCAAGGCCCTGAGCCATCTTCCACTGCTTCCCCAGGAACATTAGTAGAGAGCTGAACAGAAGTGGAGCAAAGCTGGAACTCAAACTGGCAACTATATGGAATGCTGGCAATGCAGGTGGTGATTTAATCCACCATACCACAATGCTGACAACAATCCTCATTTTACCAACAAGGAAATTCAGATTTACAGAATATGCTGAAGTTCATGTGCCTAACCACTGGTTTATAAAGCCTTTCAACACATAGAAGCAAATGTAACTGCTCTTTTATAAATATAACTGCTTATTCTTAATAATAATCTGGATAGCAAACTAAAGCTAACTGACATGTGATGGTTTTATAAAGTACATCTTTAGATGGTTATAATTTTCTTATAGTGCTCTGTATTTTACATGCTTTGCAATAAACATTTTTAAAAATTTATTTTGAAATTTTGAATTTTGTGGTACAATTTCAGAGAGACTGGGATTTCTGCCCTGCAAATCCAACCCGACTGATTTTCCCCATGTTGCTACAATATTTAGTCCTTCGTAAGGAGTCATGATTCCATCAGTCTGTTATTTAATTTTGCTCCAACACTGCTGGTACAGACAATGTCAGACAGTCCAGCATCCCATTGTCTACATGTTTCCAACAGTTTTATTGGGAGTCCATCTTTGATTTGGAAGCAGGATGCATACTGCATTGTATCCTCACGTCTGGATATAGTAATCTCCATTATTAAAGGGAATGTACAGTAATGGAGTAATAAACATTTTTATAGCTAGAAAATACAAAGAAAAAATTCTTACCACACAAGCTTGGCTTAGCCGATATTCCATAGTTAACACTTCTTGCAATGTCTTTGAAGATCCCTCCATGAGCTGCCTTAGTGTAATCTTCAGTGATGTTGGAGACATTTTATCGAGTGCCTTTTGAAGAAAAAAGTGGACTAGTTTCAGCCCATGAGCTCCTTTACCATCCAAAATAAACCAATTGTGCGTCTATATAAATATTAAAATATACCCCTTAAAGGTACTTCCACATGTCAAAATCTCAAAGTTTATGTCTTAGCATGCCAAAACACCAAAAGTTTTCTAATCTGTTACAAAGACAATCATTTCACAAGTGGAGGAAATTCTGGATGTAACTCAAAGCTTAAAATAAAACTGTCCTGTCATAAATTATGATGTCAGCTAGGCAAATAATAGCTATACTCAATTAACATTAGTGCACACTTCATAAAACACTAATATTCATCAAGGACATAAATCTTAAGACAGAAATATCTCCCTCCTCACTTTGTAACTAGAGTTTTTGCCCAAAAAATAAATCTACTTAACCTAAGAAGGAGAGAAACTATGATAATACCAGAGAGGGCATTAACCTTTAATAAAGTAAAAATTATAGACCCAACCCAACATTTGCACTGTTGCTATGCCACTTCCCTTTGCACTTAAAGACACTACTGTGACTACAAGCTGATACCTTTGCCCTTTAACTACTAATTGTAACATGGAGTTTTCGGTCTGTTGAGTGATCTCTCATAGATCCAGACTTCACTCTCTGAGGTCAAAGAATTTCTCACTTCAAGATTCCATGTTCTTTGCAGCATCGTTTAAATCTGGTAAACAGACTCCAGGAGCCAACCTCATGGGCAGGAAAATAACTTACTCGTTGTTGCAGAAGCGTAAATACATGAATACCAGACAGGGAAAGTTTAACGAACATCAGTACCCTACCTACAGCCACAATGTTACAGAAGAAAAAGGAAGAAAAATTATGAAGGTTTTTATGCAACTGGTTCTTCATGAGAATTTACTCTTCTGCCACAGGTGCTTTATGGATCTGATTCTACTTAACAGCCCTGACATTGATCCTACTCCATGTTCTTGCCTTTCTGGTCACAGGCCACAAAGATGACAGCATGTCTGACAGAAGTCCATACACTGCACTAACAGCCTCCTCCTTTCCACAGGGAAGTAGGCAATGGGTCTGTTTTTTCTAGTAGAAGCAATATACAAATTGTCTCAGGTGAGAACTCCACACAGAATGCTTCAAGGAATAATTCAGAGAATGACAGAGCCGCCTTCCTGCTTGGCTAGTCTGAAAATGCACAATTATCCTTCAGTACCACCCTGACGGTTAACTGCTTCTGGTTTCCATTTCTTTTTTCTTTTTAAAGATTTATTTTCATTGGAAAGGCAGATGTACAGAGAGGAGGAGAGACAGAGAGGAAGATCTTCCGTCCAATGGTTCACTCCCCAAATGGCTGGAGCTGAGCCAATCCAAAGCCAGGAGCCTTTTCCGGGTCTCCCACATGGGTGCAGGGTCCCAAAGCTTTGGACAGTCCTAGAATGCTTTCCCAGGTCATAAGCAGGGAGCTGGATGGGAAGCAGGGCTGCTGGGATTAGAGCCGGCGCCCATATGGGATTCCGGCAGGTATAAGGCAAGGACTTTAACTGCTATGCTATTGCACCGGGCCCTACATTTCTTTTTATTACTTAAAAACTTATCTGAAAGATAACTACAGGCAAGGGGAGAGGGACAGAAAAGGAAAAAGATCCTCTACCAACTGTTCACTCCCTACTTGACCACAATGGTCAGGACTGGCCCAGGCTGAAGCTGGGAACCAAGAGATTCAAACACTTGGGCCATCTTCCACTGCTTGCCCAGGAAGCCACCAGAAAGTGGAGTAGCTGAGACTGCATTAAGTGCCCATATGGGAAGCCAGCATTGCAAGTAGTGCCTTATTTGCACAATATCAGTCCTGGCTTCCATATCTTGACTTGGAACTTTTCATCATCAACTGGATTTCTCAAAACAGAAAAAACATGCGTCCTGCTGTACTACTTCAGTAGGCGAATCAATTCACACAAAAGGCCGTCCAGGCGCCCCAGTTACCACTGCTCATCTCTCACACACACAAGGGAAGAAGACCCACTTGTTGCATTTCTTATATTACTCAAAAATAACATCATACAGTTCACTTGGTAATGTGTAACTATTTTAAGTGACACTGCTAAGGGCATAATTAATTAGGCCTTACTAACAGGAAAATCCCCTGGAAAACACTAATTTCCATATTACACTAGAAGCAAGACAATCAAAATCTGAAGCCCTGAAATATAAAATAACTATTAATGCAAGCACTCCTATAATGTCAGTAATGATGACCCACTTTTGTGCGTTAAGGAAATACTACTACAGGGCTGATCTGTGCACCTTAATCTGTGCATATCCCTGAAGAAATCAGTAAAATTCCAACAATGAATAAGACCCTAACAGGCAAACTAACTTGACATTCCTCCTGGTAGAATCCAGTAACAACTGGGGCCAGTATTGTGGTCCAGTGAGGTCATTTCCTACCATGTTGCCATCCAGTAAGGGCACTGGCTGAAGTCCTAGCAGTTTCACTTCTGATCCAGCTCCCTGATACTGAGTCTGGAAAGCAATGGAAGATGGCCAAAATACTCTGGCCTGCCACCTACCAAGTTCCTACCTTTGGCTGGGCCTGGCTCTGCCTGTTGCGGCCACTTGGAGAGTGAATCCGCAGATGGAAAATCTCTATCTCCATCTCTCTGTAACTCTGCCTTTCAAATAAACAAATAAATCTTTTATTTTTCATTTATTTGGAAAGCAGAGTTACAAAGAGATCTTCCATCTGCTGGTTGACTATGCAAATAGTGGCAACTGCTAGAACTAGGCTGGTCCGAAACCAGGAGCTTCCTGCAAGTCTCCCAGGTGGATGGAGGGGCCCAGGTACTTAGATCACCCTCCACTGCTTTCCTAGACATCAGCAGGGAACTGGGTTGCAAGTCTGTTGATCCTGTGCCACTATATGATTCAAGCACTGCAGGCAGAGGCTTTACCTGATATACCACAGCACTGGTCCCTATATACATTTTTTCTTCACATTTTATTATTATTGCTATCATTTTATGATACAGTTCCATATTCCCTTATCCCCTCCCCAATTCCCTCACCCCCCCAGTTCCTTTCTATCATTACTAACATATAGCTCTTCATACTCAGTCATATGTTCATCATTGCGGGAATGGACAATGGCAGAGTCCAGAATCCTATTGTCAAAATATAATATAAACAGTTTCATTGTAAGTCCATCTTTGTCTGGAAACAGAGATGCATACCACACTGAATCCTCACATCTGGATGTTAGTCTCCATTACATAACTACTGTACATTCCCTTAAATGAAAAGTCATGATACAAAATCAACAATAGAAAGAAAAATAGAAATTCACAATGCCATGAAGTTAAATGACGTTACTAGATATGACAGTCTCCATTACACAACTGCTGTACCTTCCCTTAAATGAAGAGCCACAAAACATATATACATTTTTTAAAAGATTTATTTTTATTGGAAAGGCAGATTTACAGAGAGAAGTGACAGAGGGAAAGTTCTTCCATCTGCTGGTTCACTTCCCAAACGACTGTAATGGCTAGAGCTGAATCAATCCAAAACCAGGAGCTTCTTCCGGGTCTCCCAAACGGGTGCAAGGTCTCAAGGCTTTGAGCCATTCTCTACTGCTTTCCCAGACCATGAGACAAGGAGCTAGATGGGAGGTAGAGCAGCCAGGACCTGAACCGGTGCCCATATGGGATCCCAGCACATGCAAGGCTTTAGTCACTTTTGCCACTAGGCTATTGCACCGGGCCCATAAAAGTATTTCATATGTAAGAATACGACGGCATGCACATAATTCAGAAAAATCAAGGATCCCGGTGCATATAAGGCACAGATTTAGCCACTAGGCTATCATGCTGGGCCCTAAATAAAATCTTTTTTAAATTACAATAATGGTAAAATATATTCATGTTCACAGTTAAGACTTTGTTAAAATTATCAATCAACTTGTTTCCTGATAACTGAAATGCTGTAATTGTATCTGCAAATGGGGGGAGGGGAATTTGACCTATCAGATACAGGCAAGCTAAATCACCTTTTAAGACTAGGGCCTGGGGCTCGGCGCGGTGGCGCAAGTGGTTAAGGTCCTCGCCTTTCACGCCCAGGATCCCATATGGGCGCTGGTTCTATCCCGGCAGCCCCGCTTCCCTTCCAGCTCCCTGCCTGTGGCCCAGGAAGGCAGTCGAGGACGGCCCAAAGCTTTGGGAACCTGCACCCGCGTGGGAGACCCGGAAGAGGCTCCTGGCTTCGGATCGGCATAGTATCGGCCGTTGCACTCACTTGTGGAGTGAATGATCGGACGGAAGATCTTTCTCTCTGTCTCTCCTCTCTGTATATCCGCCTTTCCAATGAAAAAATAATAATAAAAAAAAAAGACTAGGGCCTGGCCTGATGGTTCAATTGGTTAATCCTCCATCTTTAACCACTAGAATACCATATGGGTGCCAGTTTGTATTTTTGCTGCTCCATTTCCCATCCAGCTCTCTGCTTGTAGCCTTGGATAGCAATGGAGGATGGCCTAAAGCCTTGGTACCCTGTACCCACACAGGAGATCTGAAAGAAGCTCCTGGCTTTGGATCAGCTTAATGTTGGCTGTTGAAATCATTTGGGGAGTGAACCAGCAATGAATGGACGATCTTTCTTTCTCTCCTTCTCTCTGTAAATCTGCCTTCCCAATAAAATAAACCTAAAAAAACAATAAGGGAATATACTTCCTTTGCCGAGAAGTCTGAAAGTCATCATCATATAAAAGATTCAAGAATGTCAGTATCAGGTGAGCACGTATTTATACAAGAACATGTTTCTGCTGTTACGAGGTGAGTTACACTGTACAAAGAATAAAGTATACTTAACACTGAGAAATACAACTTAATGCTTAGTCACGGCAATGGAGGGAGTCTCTTGCTAGATTGAAAATAGATTCTCATTAAACCTCCTGCTTAGAAAGGATGTAAACCAATGTTACATATTAAATAGACTCTGTAGATTGCTGTCACAATTATAATATATCATAGAGTGTTCTCCAGGAACCCAATACTTCTATTAAAAATATCCCTAAAATCTTCTCTCACTGGACAAGGAAGGTATTTGGAAATGGAGTGTGCTTAATAAGATCTCTACAAAGAACATAACTTGTGTAATGGAGTGAACAGAATTTAGTCCCCCCCCTTACTCATTCAAATGCGAAGTCCCTAAATCATATGGTGTTAACAGGGTGGATGGTTGATCCAGTTTTGGTACCTGGAGATGGAACCTTTGGGAGGTGGCCGGCTTGGATTGCTGGGGTAGAGCCCCACAAAGGCTTTTTTGAGAGACACGTGTACCTGCGAAAGAAGTATGTTCCCCATCTCTCTGCTTCCCAACTTGCTGCCCTGTAACTGCTCCTTCCCAAATGGTCTGCACGTTCAGCCTTCATCACACTCCAGACTTATGTGCTTGTATGAAGCTCCAAAACTGTGAGCCAAAATAAACATTCCCATGTAGCATCTCTCAGATATCTCATGGCCATGGTCATGAAGGACTGACTGGCACAACCAACTTGACTGTGCCCTTAACAGCTAGACAGGGACACTGGGGTTTAGGCTGAGGTTAGTGGAACTGCTTTGAACAGCACAGTGACCTATGTCATGACCACAGGGCCCTGATACTGCTCAGAGAGGCTTCCCTGTTATAAGTCTATACCACACTCAACATTTGTATATTACCTTCAACTGCTCTAGGGCAAAAGGTGAGCCATCTTGCCGTAGATTTTCAATTATCTGTTCCACAGTATTGGCTGAAAAGCAACTATAACAAAGGGAACACATGATATCATCAACATGCAAATGTTTGCCTGTATCTAAGGTACAAACACATTAACCACAGGTTTCCTTCCTCTCTATTGCAAAACACTTTGCCAATGTGATCTGTAGGATGATGACAACATTACTATCCTGGATAGTGTTTGCAGTTTACCTTCACTAACACAAAATAAAACTCAAATTTTCCACTTTTTTTTTTGGCGGGGGGGGGGGGGGCTTTCATCTATTGTACTTGCACACAAGTAACTGAAAAACGAATGCTTCTAAAATGCAGAAATGGTTATTTTCCAAGTCTTCCACCTCCTGTTGCTTTAAGTAATCTGTCAGTTTCTCAAATTGCTTCCCAAAAATTTTTTCCTGACTGCATTGATAACAATTGCAGATACAATGAGACTACAAAGATTAAAGGTAATTTAACTCAATTACTATTTTCTACCTGCTCTTGCTAACCAAAACCAAAAGACAAAGATGTTTTGCACCAAAATGAATTAGCATAGTAGATTACTTAAATGCAATGAGCGTTTTCTTTTGAAAGAGTGGACAAGCAGTGACTTAAAGGCAAATGACAGTAAAAACACCATGCTATCTGATCTCAGGATTCAATAAATTTCAAACACAATGTAACTATAATGTTAGCAAATTCAATACAGTCTTTTCATATTAGATATAAAGTAATGGATATAATTGGGATCTCTTTTTAAGTACCTGTTTATTTTGTCCATGTGTTCCTCCAGTACAAAAGGTTTGTCTTGATCATTCTTCGACTGTTTAAAAAGAAAATTCCTTTAATCAATCTAAAGTAATGCAAATCTTTTATAAATACCATATTTAATATACTTCATGACAGATTATCAGGTTTGGTCAAATTACATCTAAGAGTCTCATAACTATGCTCAATGTTCAGACAGTGTGTAGTAATGAAGACTTGCTCTTAGCCACGTCAAACATAAAAATGCCCTTACATTTTTATTTCTTTATATATGATCATTGTCTTTGAGATGTAAACTAACAAATTGAGGCTTACAAGGGATCTAAAATGTCATCCTGTCCAAATTTCCATCCAATCAAGAAATTCTCAAGGACATCCTCGGAATCTCTGCAGCTCTGACTTCGAAGGAGACAAACTACCACCTTAGGAAGGAGCTCACAAGCGCCTGATTTCCCTTGTTGTTTTAGTTTTAGAGCAAAGTCCAGTATCCCATAGTTCTAGTCAATCTGTCACTACAGTTATTTCACTATAGTCACTTTGTATCCTCTCAATCCAGGTCCTACAGATGGACAAGCTCTAGTTTATCAGAGCTATTTTTTTTGGTCTATGTGTTCGATTATAAGACAGAGTGACAGAGAAATGGAGAGACAGAAGGAGAAAGCTTCTTCGTCCTGTGGTTCACTGCCAAAATGGCCACAACAGATTGGGTTGGTGAGGTGCTTTGATCTCCAACTGAATGACAGGGGCCCAAGTACTGTTTCCTCAAGCACATAAGCAGGTATCTGATAAGAAGCAGAGGACCCAGGGCTCAAAATGATGTTCCAATATGGAAAGTCAGCCTGGCAAGTACAATTTAACTTGTTGTATGGACCACAATATCATATTTCAAAGTCATGCCTAAAATACCACAGTTTAGCTTCACATGGGGCTGGTTATAGAAAAACACAACAAAGCTTCACATGTCCTTAGTTATTTTGGATATAATATTTTTACTAACTGGATTAGCTCTGTACTACTGTCAAGGCAGGCCTGTCACATGGCTGATTCATACAGAGCACCAATCAATTAAAAGTGCTCTTTTGTTTTTTTATTTTATTTTTTTTATATTTTAAGCCTGTGTTCTGTAGGCTACATTTCTTTCATCCTGTAGTTATTAACTTAGCACTTTAAAGTGCAAGATTTGCACTTTTTGTATAACATCTTACACTGTTACTATTAAATCACTGTAGAGTTGTTTTCCACCCATATTTTTAAACTAATTTCATCTTAATTTCAAATCAATCTTTTCAAAAACAGTCAACATGTTCATAGAGATCATAGAAAATTACCAAACAAGCCAAGATATATCCCCTACAGATCACTAACTACACATTTAATGGAAATAAGGACTCTAAACTGCTACATACCATAATACACTCCATATTCATCCAACTTGAAAATGTGAAAAACTGTTAAGAGTCTTAAAAAAAACATACAAGGAGGGCCCAATGCAATGGCCTAGTGGCTAGATCCTCGCCTTGCATGTGCTGGGATCCCATGTGGGTACCAGTTCTTATCCTGGCTTCTCCACTTCCCTTCTATCTCCCTGTTTGTGGCCTGGGAGAGCAGTGGAGGACAGCCAAAAGCCCGGACCTTGTACCTGCATGGGAGACCAGAGAACGCTCCTGCCTCCTGACTTCAGATTGGCTCAGCTCCAGACATTGCAGTCACTTGGAGAGTGAACCAGAGGATGGAAGATCTTTCTGTCTCTCCTTCTCTCTGTGGATCTGCTTTTCCAATGGAAGTAGACGGATCTTAATAAATAAATAAGTAATAACAGACAAGGAGCTAGCAGTGTGGCCTTGCAAGTAAAACCACAGCTGTAATGCTGGGATACTATTCAGGCACTGGTTCATGTTCTGGCTGCCCCATTAGCTCTCTGCTAACAGCCTGATTAAAGCAGAAGATGACCCAAGTATTGGCCCCAGCCATCCATGTAGGAGATGCAGATGAAGCTGCTGCTTCCTGCTTTCTTCCTAACTCAGCCTTGACCCATTGGAGCCATCTGAGGAGTTCATCAGTAAACGGAAGATCTCTTTCTAACTCAAATAAATAAATCATGACGGGGATGGGGGAAAGATGAGATACCCCATGCCCTGTATTCATATTCACTAGACTGAGTCCAATTCATACTTGATGTCCTAAGTTTTAGATAACTCTACGGTTTCTATAAATATTTCCTTCAATCTTCTGCTATAAAGTGCTAATAATTGTATATTAGCCCTCCTGGAATAATACCTGTAATTTTCTTTGCTGTTTTCCATCTCATTAGTCTTTCTCTTTCTTATAGTTTTCCACAACCGTCAACTTTACTGTTTTTCATTATTTCACTATATTCTTACTCTTTAAATTTTTCTCTTTACGGCATTTGTTGTGGTTTCATACATGAAATATTTTTCTCTAATCTGAGGATTGCAATAACAGATCGCTGTTTTAATTTTTTAGTTTTTTTGGTGTCCTCCTATTCTATGCCTTGCCTGTTTTTCTTCCAGGGTCTTTCTGTTTATTTTATCCTGGAAAGAACTTCCTTTTCTATGTGAAGCATTAAAAGTAAGTAGCTGTGTATAATATGAGTTATAGCTTTAGCACTATCAGTTGTATGAATAAGATGCTCAGGCAAGTGCCTGCATGTGTCATGAAGGGATTCACCAGAGTCAGTATCTGCAAGTGTTTTCTTTTTCTTTCAATGTATTGCCTGGAGTGTGGCAGTATACAGCGGTTCTGCACAACCAGAGAGCATGGCCCACCCTATTTTGCTCTGCCTCTTTTCTGTACTTCATCTCACCCACCCCTGTTCTTGGCTAGACCTAGCTCTCTGGTCAAAGTATCAAAGCCTCCACTCTGCTGCCAACAATGGGCAGCCACCCTCAATTGCACAGGTGGAGGACCTTTGGAGGTGTAGTTATGGGTTGTACAAGCTTGTAATAAACCTTCCTGGTTTTCTGTCTCTCTCCACTCTCAAGAGGATCTGGCTGCTCTAAAAGGGTTCTACTGAAAGAAATGTTTCTCATTGACTTCTCCCCAGCCCTGTACAAAAAGACACAAGTTCCGTATCTTGAGTCTACAGGTAGCTGCTATTATCCTCATGTTTTCAAAGTTTCCAAAAGAGGAGAGATCACATATGCCCTGTCTCTTCCTCTATTCCATCTGACTGTGAATACACCGTTTTTATTCATTCATTATAATTTTAGTTGGGTTTTAGGAGAGAGGTATTCAATCTTTATGCTTTACTAAAAGTTGTGCAATATTCTTATAAATTACTGGTCCCTACAAGAAAGTTCAACTTAGACACGTAAGTAAGGAATCAAAAGTAAATAGTGTGACATATTTCATTGAAAACAGCTGGAAGCCAAAGTTCCACTTTAGCAGTTTCGCAACTAGCCTCACGTGGAACCTTCTTTGCAGAAAGGCCAACCACTGAAGCCACCCAGCTGTGCAGCTAGCCAGCAGAGAAGCCATTTCCCAACACAATGATCCTCCCACAACGCTTTAAAGTGAACAAATGTTCAGTGCATTTATTTATGGCTACAAATTTTCAGTTCTTCAATAGCTTCTCTTTCCCATTAAAATCTCAATGTTGGAATAGTGACAGCATTACCTCTCTATGGTAGGTTTCTAATACACCAGCAATATTTTCTTTTGAAGGAGATTTCAAGGCTAACAAATCTTCTTCTAACATTCTTATCTGAAGAGGAAAAAGACAAAATCACAGACATATAAAATGCTTTACGACATCCCATACTCATTTTTATAATCTTTGTCTTAAAATTATGCTGCTTTAGCTTCAACTAAGTAACTAAAAGAAAAAAAAATGACTATAGTTGAATGTACACACATCCCCACACAGCAAATGTTGTCTTATTTGGAATGAATAATTCTGGAGGAATTAAAAACGAGGAGAAGGGCCATTTATCTTTGTTTCTCTCTGGCTACCAAGCACTTGTAAGAGGGATTATAACAAGAAATCTGGGTTATAAATTTTATTTTTAATTCATTTTCAGCAAAATTGCCACATGCATATACTAAGGTCTCTAATAAGGCCCCATTTATCTTACCACCTAATCCCTTGCTCACCCCATATTATAGCTGTGTTTCTGTTTTAACAACATGAACTACAAACACCAAAATCATTACCTTTGCAGAATCTACAAAATGCGTAGCAATTCCTGCTCTATACACATCTCTTCCCTTTAGTCTGAATCCAGTTAAAGCAAGGAGGTATCCAAGTTTTCCCTGAAGTCGTGGCAAAAAATAACCTCCACCAACATCAGGGAACAGTCCTGTAATTAAATGTAATAAACAAGAGAAAACAATGTTCAAATGAAAGATGAATATAATCTCTTTACTTTTGATCACACAGGAATTTCTCCCTGGAATTTGAATCTTTACTATAGATATTAAGTACTATGCAATGGAATCAACACCACAAAACTTACATAAATTGTGATAATTTGGGTACTCAAAATATTAACATTTCATTTCTATACAGTTCAGTAAAATAATTGATATGCAATGCTTGGTATATCAGAAGTATCCAATGCTACCTACATGTCCACTATTTTTGAAATTGATAAAATTGAAAAATATTTCTTTACAAAAATTGCAGTTATCACAATGAAAAAAACCTCAAGATTAGCATTTAAAGTCTATTACCTAATATTCGAAGTAAAGATTGATACATAACCACTAGTCCTAAAAATGTACAATACCTAAGAAAATCACTTGTATTTACTTTTTTTCTTAACCATCAAGAGTTTGAATTTATTTAAAACCTTCCCACTGGGGTCAGCATTGTGGCAATGGCTAGCATCCTATACAGGTGCAAGTTCAAGACCTGGCTACTCCAGCTTCTGGCTTCAATCTGGCAGTCACTGCTATTGCAGTATGTGGGAGAGTGAACAAACTGATGGAAGAGTACTCTCTCTATATATATACTGATATCTGTTTCTCTCACTCTCTCTCCCCCAACTTACTCTCTCCCATTCTCTCTGTAACTATGTATTTCATAGAAAATGTTTAATGTCATTTGTAATATAATCAAGCTACAATAAATACTTATGAGTTTGACAAAATGTATAAGAAGACCTAAACACTGAAAAACCACAATGTTTGCTGAGAAATTAGATGGAGAAATAGATCCTGAAGATTTAACACCGTTAATATGTCAATTCTCGTAAAATTCATCTATAGTCAGAACCTAGGCAATCAAAATTAAAATCCTAGCAGACATTTTGTTGAAATTGACAACCTCACTCTAAAAACCACATTTTAGAGAAAAAAGGATTGGGGTCGGTGAAATGGTTCAACTGTCTCATCCTCCACCTTCAAGCACAACACCCCATATGAGCATTGGTTCATGTCCTGGCTGATTCATTTCCAATCCAGTTTCCAGCCTGTGGCCTGGGAAAGCAGTGGACAACAGCACAAATCCTTGAGCTCCTGTATCCATGTGGGAGACACGGCAGAAGCTCCTGGCTATCGACTGGCTCAGCTCTAGCCATTGCAGGTATTTGGTGAGTGACTCAACAGATGAAAGATCTGTCTCTCTCTCCTTCTCTCATAACCCTGCCTTGCCAATGAAAAAAATATATATTTTTTTTAAAAAAAAGAAAAACAAAAACATCAAGATAACCAAAGCAACCTGAGGGAGAAAAGGAACAAAGATGGAAGATACCACTACCTGATTTCAAGGCTTATTATACACAACAAGAACCAAAGCAACATGGCATTTACAACAGGATCAACATGTACAGATGTGCCCTGAACAGCAACACAGGGGTGAGGAGCACTGACCTATACCCGCAGAACTAGAAAAATCCAAGTGCAATGTTTTTTCCCCTAAAGCTTCACTACCAATAACCTGGTGGCAAATAACCTGGTGGCAATTGCCAACCTTGCCAATAAGACAGCCAATCAATTCACACATCGTAGTGTGTTATATATATTACTGTGAAGAAACACTATACTTGTGAGGAACTTTTAACTCTCACATCCAAATTACTGAAGAGAAAAACTGCTCCTGCAGTTAGCATCATGGAATGTGTTAAGCAAATACTATCAACATTTACACTAACCATGATAAAAGTAGTTATGATATTGGTACAGTAGCATAGCATTACAACAGTGAATTTTATGCAGTTATGACTTAATATTGCATGTTCATTTCCCTCAATTGTAAATCATACTTTTCATAGCCTATATGTGTCTGTAAATTGACAAATTTTCATTTTGATGATAGATCTGTATATATTTTACGGTAGTAAATGATAAAGCAGACTATTATGTACATATAATTTACACATTTTTCTTAATTTTTGGTGTTTCTATTCATCCGAGTTTTTCAAATTATCATACATCTCAAAAAATCCACACATAATTAGTAAGCTAAGAAAAATTGTTTTTTTAAAGTTTTCATTCTTGTATGTACCATGTCAATAATCCCATTAACAACAGTATGATCTGAAATATATTTACACATTTATAAACATAATGATGAAGACTTTCTGGCATTTTGTTTTTACCTATTGCTGTTTCTGGCATTGCAAAAACAGTCTTTTCAGTAGCTACTCGGAAAAGTCCATGAACTGACACACCAACTCCCTAGAGAAATAAGTGAAGAAAGTTGGTTCAAAATGTTGCTTAAAAAAAAAATCCAAACACAAACTAACACACTCAAACAAGAAAATTGTCTCTATATCCCACTGAAATTTGTTTCAGGGGATAAAGTCCTAAGCCACACAATTTCAGATGAACTTCTTAGTCAAAAGTAAATGAGAAATCTTGACATTCCTAGAAGAATTTATTTTAGCCAAGATGTTTTTCATGGGCATTCTGCTGTATTATATATACTCTTACCTTTGGTCCCAAATTCCTTTTCCTCTCAAGACATATGCACTACTATAGGATTTCAACTCTTCCCCGAACCATTGAGTGCTGTTTATTACTGTACTCATAATCAAAAAGCACAATCACACTAGCTTAGCAAGTTCTGGACAGAATAGTAACTATACAGACATATATGTAATAATTCATTTGAAAGGCACAGTGAGAGAGGGAGAGAATGAGAAAAAGAGAGAGAGAGAGATCTTCCATTTGCTGATACACCCCCAAAATGGCTGCAATGGCCAGGCCAAAACCAGGAGCATTATCAGGGTCCGTTGTGTATGTGGCAGGAGCCCAATCATTTGGGCCGCCTCCACCGCTTTCCCAGGTCATTAGCTGGAGAGAGCTGGATCAGAAGTGAACCACCATGCCCATATGGCTCACTTGCATTACAGGCAGCAGCTTAATCTTACACTATTACACCAGCTCCAAATTGCAACATATTTTCTCAAAATTGCAACATAATTAGTTTATCATTAGTTGTTCTTTCTTTTCTCTGGGACATCAAAATGCTGATCTGCCAGTGCTCAAAGACAATCTTTCTACTCCACCTCTGTCCTGTCTCCATTCATTCCCCACCTGATCTCTCCCAAGATGTGACGCATTATCACAACAATAACTCAAATTATTTCCCCAGTGGTGAGTTCTATAAACTAAGCTGCCTACCTTAACATCTCCAGGTGATTGTTGAGTGTCTCAACCTTCACACTTCAAAAATAAACCTATTTCTCCTTAAAATCATTCCTCCGTCCTCTTCCCTGTTCAGTAAACATAACTATTCTCACATTTGCTCAACTTACACATCTGAGCATTAGCTTCTCTCCTTACCTCACAATCGAATCTAGGAATCCATCCTGACAAATTCTAACTTCCAAACATATTCTGCGGCCAGGCACAATGGTTATTCCCTCCCTTCCAAGTGCCAGATTCCCGTATGAGTGCTAGTCGTGTCCTGGCTGCTCCACTTCCTTCCCATCCAGGTCCTGCTTATGGCTTGGGAAGGCATAAAACATTTCCTTAAGTTTTACTTTGCTTGACATTAAAGTATCCATATCAGATAAACATCTATATCTCTGTTATTTAGTGCTGGCATGCTATCTTACTCTTTAACTATTCTATGCCTTATGTATATGGTGCTCCAAGCATTCTGGCACTCATTTTTTTCTACTTGAATAATTACTAAATAATCATCTTTGTATGATAACATTATCTACTATAAAGGATGCTGATATAGATGAATGAAATAATTGTTGAATAATTATAAAAATTATAAAGAATGATTATAAAAATGTATTCTAAATAATATCTCACCATATGAATAAGCAATATATTTCTATTTTTTGGCATTCTTACAGGTAGAAGTTAAGCAATCTAAGATTTTCTTTTTTTAATTAGAACAGCTTCATGAATTTTCAGGTTATCTCAATGGCAAAAAAGAACTGCCATACCTATATTTAAGACTTTTGGGAGCCAGCAGAGTGCCTGCTGTACTGGAATACTATATGAGTGCAAGCTGAAGTTCTAGCTGCTTCATTTCTGACCCTCCTGCTCCCTGCTTTTGGCCTGGGAAAGCAGTGAGGACTGCCCAAGTCCGTGGGCCACTGCATCCGCGTGGGAGATCCAGAGTAAGCTCCTGGATCCTTGCTTCAGATCAGCTTAGCTTTGACTGTTGTAGCCATTTGGAGAGTGAACCAGTGGATGGGAGACCTCTCTGTCTCTCTCTCTCTCTCTCTCTCTCTCTGCTGCTCTATAAATCTGCCTTTCAAATAAAAAAAAATTACTTTAAAAGGACAAAGAAATCTTTCAAAAATTGTAATTAGTAACTAGGATAGTATTCATTTCTCTATTTCCAGGTATCACTAGTCCAGATAAAAAGCAGTATTAATTTTTTAAAAACTGCTAATTATGGGGCCCGGCATGATTGCCTAGCAAGTAAAGTCCTTGCCTTGAATATGCCTGGATCCCATATGGACATCGGTTCCATATGGAAGTGGCATCCCCACTTCCAATTCAGCTCCCTGCTTGTGGCCTGGGAAAGCAGTCAAGGACAGCCCAAAGCCTTGGGACCTTGCATCCTTGTGGGAGACCCTGAAGAAGCATCTGACTCCTGTCTTTCGGCCAGCTCAGTTCTAGCCCATCATGGACACTTAGAGAGTGAACCAGTGCACAGATTTTTCTCTCTCTCCTTCTCTCTGTAAATCTGCTTTTCTAACACAAAAATTAATCGTTAAAAAAATTCTGATCACAGATGAGTAAGCTCCTACTTGGAATGAACACTGAACTCTCAGGATTACAAACACGGTTTTCAACTTGGTGTTTACTTTTGTCAATAATTCAAATGGATTCTCACTACAGTATAAAAGTACTGTGACTATAAAGTAAGTTTCATCAGGTATCCCTGTGACTACATGCATTAGGTTACCACAGCAACATGCCCTACTTAAAAAATTACACATGCGCTACTTAAAAAAAAAAGATTTATTTAAATTGGAAAGTCAGATTTACAGAGAGAAGGAGAGACAGAAAGATCTTCCAGTTGCTAGTTCTCTCTCCAAATGGCTGCAACAGCCAAAACTGAGCCGGTCTGAACCCAGAAGCCAGGAGCTTCTTGTGATCTCCCACACAGGTGTAGGGTCCCAAGGCTTTAGGTCATCATCTACTGCTTTCCCAGGACACAAGCAGGGAGCTGGATGGGAAGTGGAGCAGCCAGGACACAAACTGGTGCCCATAAGGGATCCTGGCACATGCAAGGTAAGGATTTAGCCATTAAGCTACTGCACCAGCCTCCAACATCCTACTTTCATTCTCAAGGTTTTTACTTCTATCAGCACATTACCCCATTAAGATATTTACCTATCAATTATGTATGTGCATGGGTCATGGGACAATAATGTTTAAAAACTGCACACTTAATGCCAGTTAAACAGGACTAGCTATAAGGAAACTACTGCTGTATATCACACACTCAAGAAAGATACAGGGTAGAGAGGTCTGGCCTACGGGCAATACAAGGGCCAAGAGATCACTTGGTCTGGTCTGCCAAAGCAACTGCGGGGGGAGGGCAACCTCACAATAAAGCTATTTAGCAGATTAATTTTAAGTTGAAAACCTTCAAGGCCCAGGATTTAAGCTATAAATATCGAAATGGCCACTGGCAGCAAAAGGTTCTCCATACCATAAAAAAATAATCCATTACATATTAAAAACTAACATGATTCAGAGCTTATCTAGGAAAAAGGTTTAATAAGACATATTTATTAGTAATAGAATTTTGCCACATGTATATTTCTATATATATCCAGAGCCATCATTGAGAAAACTATACAAACGGATTTTTAAAAATACTGTAAGTAACACGGAATACTTAAAAATGTTCAAATAACCCACAGGAAGGCAGTAAAAGTTGATTATTGTTTATACTTGCCTATGCCTATGATCTTTAACCCTGATAATAAGACAGAAGGGAATCTTAAGCAGAAAGAGTGCCATTAGGAGATAAGGGAAATCCTACATCAAGAAAAACAAGATATTTATTGACAGTTAAATAATATTCCATATTAACACAGATAAACAGAAATACAAACAAGCGCTACTCAGTACTTAGAAATCCAAGAGAAATTTCTCTCATTTTCCTCTCTCCAACTCCTGCTTAGTTACTAATATTTTAGTCTTAAAGGAAGCTCTTATATCAGAATTTTAAATTATTTTAAAAAAATATTTAAATGATGGGGTTGGAAGTGGTAGGAAAGAAGTACATCAATGGAAGTTGAACTAAGTTTCCCTAAAAATTGTTCTTAGTTAAGAGAATTACTTGATTTCTTATAAGCCTTCAGGTTCCATCAAGTAACTGAATGCTGTTAAGAAAATCACAGCATTATAAAAATGATTCCTTGAAATGTCTGTAATCTATTTGACTGTAACAGAAGCAAAAAAGAAATTCTCTAAAAGCTAAAAAAAGAGGCACCTATTATATCTAACAGACTTTTGTAATATATTAACAATGCAATCTTTGAGGACTATTCATTCTCTTCATAAAAAAGAACATGTCTCAAGTGACATTAATCAGTGGCTAAACATAATCTGATTGAATAGCTCCCATTCAACTGAGCATTAGTGAACATTCCATTTGGCTGGTTGTATCACAAAAGTTACTTGGGTATTGTGTAATCTCACTGTTTCTGTTCCACTCCAAGTCCCATTTGTCTATTATTCATTAGAACATGCTCCTCAAATATGCTTTAAAACATTTAACTCTCCATTCTTGATCATGTAGGAAAGGAAACATTTTCCTGCTATTTTGCTGAGTTTTTACCTGCCACCCAAGTAACAAAAAACAGATCGACAAGGACAAAACATTAGTTTATCATCATGTAATCATTGGAAATATCCAGGAAAAGTGAGAAGTCTCCATGAGACTAGAGCTCAGTCTTTGGGCCTCCTTCAGTTAACAGAGTAGTGAAGCAAGCAATAGCAAAGTGGAAATGCAAGGTAAACAAGAGTAAGTTACTTGTTCTCTTTCCAATACAGAGGGAAACACCACATTCAATACTAAAATTCTACCCAAAATTCTGAAAAGAAAAGCTTTTTGAGTAACTGCACTAAGCCTTAAGGGAAGGACTTCTAAAGAAGCTCCCCTCCCTCAACATCAGCATCCAAGAACCTGTGAGGAAATGCAAATTTTCCAGCTACACTCCCAAGTGACTACATGGGAGGGAGGA